GCCGCTCGGCTCATTTGCCACCACTACCGACCCCTCACAATGGTGGAGGGCCTACCTTTTTCTAAAACAGGTGGGCCCCCCACCATTGTGAGGGGCTGGTGAGGGGGGTTGTCAACCCCCCCCGGTACAAATATAATTTCCCCATCAACATAACTCTATGGTTTTACATACTAGTATGTTACAAATTATATATGGAACTCCTGAAAAGAATGAAATCTAGAAATATTTTTCGTCGGACCATCATGCTGACTACAATCAAATATGGATAGATGAATATCTTGTATGAAGCTAGTGGCATTGGAGAAACTGGTGCACAATGTCCAAATGACTTGATACAATGATCTATATTAGTTGAAATCGAGGAGAGTAGATGTAATATTTTTCTTTCGTTCAGGTTTTGTCCCATTTAATTTTTCTCATAAGGTTTTCATAAGGCAACATTTTAGTACTCCAATTTTATTTATAATTAATTTTATTTTTTTTCCGAACATTGGGTATTTTTTATCACTAGATTTTTGTAAAATAAGGTTCTTAACAAGACAATATTTTTATATATAGTAATTCAAGGAAGAGCTCTAAAATTATTAGACTATGATGACTGATTATTTAGTCTTATCACAATATCGAGATTATAGTTTTACTTACACTAGACATATGTATCTTGATCAGCTTGTAATTCTCATTGAAATTTTTTATATATGGATTCATTATTAAAATGAAAGAGACAAATTTTTAACTTTCTTTATTTTATTTTCTTCTCATCTCTTTTTCTTATTTTTTCTTAATTTTCATAACATAGATTAATATAAAAGTACAATAAACAGATGATAGTTGCATATTAAATCAAGAATAAGTTGTTTGGTATGATGGTTGCTTTGACAATCCGCAAAGCGGGAGTTAGGGCATCAGGGGATCAAACGTGGATCTCAAAATTTGCAAATATATTATTAAAATCGAAGCACTGGTAAATCGGGGCAAGCCAATTTTCAATAAATTGTGTGATTTAATCGATTTTTAATAAGGTCAATTGCAATTTGATCACTGATAATGAACTGGACTAATTAACCAGTCGATATTGCGATTGGACCAATCGGATTGTCCGAATTTATTGATTTAATAATTGTGGTTATATCATAAGATCTTATAATTTTTACAATGGTTTAGGTAGCTTCTGAAATTGAATCAAATCACTATTATGTTAGGAGCCATCATAAAACCAAACTTTTTATAACGAATTCATTAATATGTACGAGATATTATGGAATTCACAGTTTTTCTAACACAATTTCTTTCGGAGTACACATACGATTTCCTAATAAAATGGCCCGTGCCTCGCACATTGTAGCAGACTCCCATGTAATCTCGTCGGGGAAGTATTCTTTTTGTGCAGAAATAATCCATTAGGACAAGTGATGCTATGAAATTGAAATGGTGTAGGGACCAGTTTGCTCAATTTTAAATGTTGAAGACAAGTTGCTACAAACACTAAAGGTTGTGGTCGAATTCTGAAAATTTTCCAAAATAGAACCGTCCAGTCGTAGATTTGCCTGTTATTTTAGGTTTCTAAAGTCATTTATTGCTCAAAAAAATCAAACCGCCCCACCTTTCGGTCTTGTTGATTGTTGGGATTTTTGATCAACCAAACCCAAATGAAAAGCATAATATATAACAGATGCAATTGTGCATATAAGAGCATCGTTAAGAGATTTTTTAAAAATAATAAAGAATCTCTCTGAGATACTTTAAGGGTCCATTTGATTACAAGAGTGGAATTGAGTGGAAAGAAAATGAATTTTAGGGAATTGAATTGCCTAAAACTTGTTTTACTGAAAATTGTCAATTAATTGTGTTTAATTTGTACAATTTTCCACCTGAAAAATATTGAAATTTTAAATCTTTTGGTGTTCGTTTGACTTTATTTTCATGAAAATTGTCAATTAAAGGGATATAGTTTGTTATAATTGAGGATATAATTTGTTTCCATTACTAAAAAAATTTAAAAAAAATGTTGTATAGAACAGCTTTTCCCACCAAACCCATGAAAAAAGTTTTTCCTCAAAAATCAAGAAAATGTGAAAAATCAATTTCATGGAAAATTTAGTCAATCAAACATGCAAAAATGTGAATTGAATTTAATTTTCATCTTCCATGGAAAAGAAAGTCAAATCAAACTGAGCCTAAGTATTTTATTTAAATCTTTTAAAGTGGCATCTTTTATTAAAAGGAAAAATATAAGCCGATTCTACATGGCTTCTAATGTATAAAAAAAAAAGATGCAAATTACAAATTCGAGAGATGAAGACCCCCCAAAACATCTACCAATTCGTTTTGGACAGGCAATGGGCTCCTAAGCACACAGTAAGCACAGGCACCTAATAAAGAAAAGCACGGCATCATCCAATAAAATAATCTTAATCCGACTAAGTATTGGGGTCCAACGATAATGCACAGTGGATAATTCATGAAATCTTGTTTATATAATAGGATCACGTATGCACCTTTTTCTTGTACCTTACTCTCCTCTGCGGCAATTGCCAACATTCTTCTGAGAAAAGAGAAAAACTCAAGAAACATAATTAATGGCTAAGATCTCTGGCAATTTTGCCATGGCGTGTATACATGTAGCGATTCTGTTTGTATATGTCATGACAGTGGCAAATAGTGCAAGGGTGATGCCTCTACACCCTTATACGCAGGAACAAGTAAAGCCCATCTCCAATATCTTTGATACTTCCAAGTATGGTATTTTACAGCTTGGAAATGGCTTGGCCAACACTCCTCAGATGGGGTAATAATTTTCCCTTTCTTTTGATTATTTATTTATTTGGAGAGTATAAAGATTAATTCTTGCTGGGTTAAATTTGAGCAAGTAATAGGGGTTTTGATTCAAGATTTTCTGAATAAATAGATTTTCATTCGTCAAGTGGATGAATTGTTTTAATAGATATAAAGTTTAAATACTAAATTTAGGAAATTGCACCTGCATCTGATTTTTGATGATCCTTAATACCGAGCCGGTTTATAGTCAATTTATGTCAGAATCCCAGATGTTATGTAGTTATAAATAATTTGATTTGATTATTTTGGGTGGCAGATGGAATAGCTGGAATTTCTTTGGCTGCGATATCGATGAAAAAGTTATCAAGGAAACAGGTTCTGCCTTGGCTTTGTCGTGATTGATCTTCTTAGTAATAGAAATGCTTGTCCCCTTAATATCGTTGATTGATAGATTGTTTATTAGAAGTCAAAAACATGAAAATACGAGCATAATATAGTCCTTGAGTATTTCATTTTCTTTAATCACAAACATGTACTACTTTGTATTTGTTGTGGTTGATGAATGACAGATTATCACTAGGCGGCTGGTATTCACAATCGATTAAGTAAAAATTTAGTCAAGTGATTATAGTGCATAATTTTATGTTTTTGGGCTTAGTTACACATATTAAACAATCTTTTATGGATCTTTCCTGCTGTCTGATACTAGAAGTAATGAGTTCTTTTGAATCCAATGAATTTTCTTGCATCTATGTTGTTATGCATAGTTATTTCTTTACATTTTCTGTTTTCTTCATGAGAGCTAATGTTTTCTTACCCTTTATTTGTTCCCTGAAAAAAAGATTTAACTTTTATTTTGCTCTTCAACAGCTGATGCACTTATTTCAACCGGTTTGGCCAATTTAGGCTATACTTATGTGAATATAGGTAATCAACTGATCTGTTTCCCTAATAGTTTCACGTCAAAACTTGGCATGTGCTTATGTACTCAATATCTTGAATTGCAGATGATTGCTGGTCCATGCCATCACGGGATTCAGATGTAAATTTCCAGATCTATAACGTTGCTTCATTATGATCCTTATACCATTAATTTCTAGTCTACAATAGATCTTCTCTGTCTATGTGATGCAATTTTTACCCCTTCTAAAAAAATTTCCCTGATTTTCCTTTCTATTAGCTTGCTGGCTGAAAGACAAGAAATTTTTATGTTTTGTTTTATGCTTATTCTTACTAAAGCTTGACTGCTTGTGCAGGGTCAACTAGTTCCCGACCCTAAGACGTTTCCATCGGGAATTAAAGCTCTTGCCGATTATGTGCATTCTGAAGGGCTCAAGCTCGGTATCTACTCAGATGCAGGGTAGGGTTAATTCCTTAACGTCTTTTAAGAAAATGTTCCATCAATAGCCTAAAATGATGCTGAATGAGGAAATATTCTGCCATTCTGGCTCTGTTTATATCATTTTACTTCTTGCTGATTCATTAATTAAATTCCCTCAGGGATTTCACATGTCAAAAGCGACCTGGATCACTTAAACATGAATATGATGATGCAGCTCTTTTTGCATCTTGGGTTTGTTCATCTTTCGTCTTTTGCAGTTTTCTGTTTTCCCTCCATTTTGTGTTCCATTGTTTTTGCTTTGTTTTATATTTGGGTGGAACACAAGGGTTGGCTCATATATTAATCATGTTCTTTGTTATTCAGGGTGTTGATTACTTGAAGTATGACAATTGTTTCAATCTGGGCATCGAACCAGAAGAAAGGTTGGTGTTTTGTTTACTTTAATATATCGGTATATCTAGCTTCAACTAACTGTGGTCTCGCAACTCTCAGATATCCGCCAATGCGTGATGCCATAAATGCAACTGGACACACAATATTCTATTCACTTTGCGAATGGTAGCTTCTCTCTCTTTCAAGACTGCTATTTTCTTTAGTGGTTCTGTCTAGTGGTTCGATCTTCACATCTTACTAAGAAAAACTTTCTTACAAATTTGGCAGGGGCGTGAATGACCCTGCCTTGTGGGCAGGCAAGATTGGAAACAGTTGGCGAACAACAAATGACATTAATGATTCATGGGCAAGGTTCTGAACTCCTGTACTTGAACTCATAGGTTTACATTTTTAGGTGTGCAAGTGCTAATGAAGAGTATGTTGGCTAGTGTTATAAAATTATATTTTTGGATTTTCCCATTAAAAAGGTTCCACCCACCCTCCCCCGCCTCAAACCTAGCAAACGAGCAACCTTGCAAGATTGTATTCCATTTTTTTTTACTTTTGATCAAGTTTACCTTAAATAAGTGGTACAGTATGTTTGGTATTAGACATTTGAGAGCATGAACTACAGAAATTAGATCACTAGGTCCTCTCTACGGTATTGAATGTTTCATTCAACTATTAACTCATCTGTATGCCTAAAATAAGAAGAAAGAACTAGAAAGATTTAGAGAAGAACTTATTTCTTTCTGCTCATGAATCCTTTTTTTTTTTTTGCAACATATTTCCTGTATTGATATAAGCCTTTTTTGTCATTTTGGTTTAGCATGACCGAAATTGTCGATATCAATGACAATTGGGCAGCCTATGCAGGACCTGGTGGATGGAATGGTAGGATTATGATCTTCGTTCTGTAGTGTGAACAAAGATTCATCTGTGAATACTTTGTATGAACGTCTTTAACTTTCCCTGTGATTTCTTTAACACTATTTGACAGATCCCGATATGTTAGAAGTTGGAAATGGGGGCATGACTTACCAGGAGTATCGAGCACATTTTAGCATTTGGGCCTTGATGAAGGTGCTCTTTTATAACAATGAATATCCACATTCTTTTGTTTTAAGTCTCAAGCATGTCCGTTTTCTTTCAATGAAATTTATTGATGCGATTCTCAAATGTCTGTTGGTGATCAGCATGAAAGAAACTGACATTTCCAGTCACTGATGAACTAAATGTTGTTTGATTGAATGTGCAGTCTCCACTTCTGATTGGTTGTGACGTGAGAAACATGAATGCAGAGACATTTGAAATTCTAAGCAACGAGGAGGTTATTGCGGTAAACCAAGGTAAATTCCTTGTTTTCATACTGTTTTGTTTTCTCTCTGGAAGAGAGAGAGTTAATAACAACATCATCTTTATAAAAATATCATAGATCCACTTGGGGTTCAAGGAAGGAAAGTTCTTGCTTATGGGCCTGATGGTTGCTATCAGGTAAGAGAATTATGCACATCTGTATTTTATGTTCTTGCTTTTATGCACCAAGCACTTTCTGTATTATTTCTTCTTGCATTGTGCACCTCTGTATTTTTTGTTCTAATACATTGCATGGTAATTGGTTAAACTCATATATTGTGATGCTTATCAATTGAGGGTTCAGCATTTTCTAATCTCTCGATTATATAATCCAACTTAGATACTTGTGGGAACGAACTCTTTTTTCTTTGTATAAACAAAATGAACTGTCACGAGGGGTTCTTACCTTTTATAAGTTGTAACATTACATGATATTAATCTTGTTTTCAGATTTGGGCTGGTCCCCTGTCCGGGCAGCGTTTGGTTGTTGCATTATGGAATCGATGTTCAAAAACAGCTACTATTACTGCTAAGTGGCCTTCACTTGGACTTGAATCTTCTTTCATCGTCTCTGTAAGAGATTTGTGGAAGGTGAGCATTGTTTTTCTTCATAATCTTATAGGTAAAGTATGTCATGTTTGTGTCAGGTGCAGCTATATATCTCAGAAACAGCGTCTGGCCATTGAGTTTCTTCGAGACTTTTACTTTGATCTATGTACCAAGTTTGCTATGGAAAGTTTTAAAGAATTTTAGCCTACCCACCATAAGAAGTTCCCTACTCCTTTACTGAATTGCTGGTTAATCTCTGAAATCAAATTTAAACCAGAGGAATGAGAAGTTTCACGAAGGGGGTTAAGTAGTCTGGTTTTGCGTGTATGATGGTTCCTTTGACACTTCCTGTTGTTATTGGTTGCAGCACGAGTTTGTTTCGCAGAATTCCAAGTCCTCATTCAGTGCACAAGTTGATGCTCACGCCTGTGAAATGTACATTTTTACTCCGACGATGGAAACTCGCTCGGCAACTTAATCAGATGACTTGAGAGAGCTTTATATCCTGGTACAACCTGTTGGGAGGTTGATACACGAGTTGTGTGCAGAAACAAATAATTTTATTGAAGATGAAGATTAGAGTTTTTGGCATTTATGTACAAGTGCATTTATGTTGTATTGTGTGATTCGTGGTTGCTATCTAAGCTTCTCATGGAGCTCAGAATATGGGCAATTTAGCTTGTAACATAAATAAGTTCAAACAGTTAGCAGTTTGTACTTCTGCAGTTATAGTGTTCTAGGATTGGGATTGGTAGTTTTTACACTGATTGTATGATTTGTTACTTTTATCAGATGAATATTTATTGCCAATTAGACAATCTCTCTCTCGTCTTCAGTGCAAATCCTCCACCTTTTTTCTTTCCCATTTCAAGAAACAAAGCAACACGAACCAACATCCATTTCCTTTACAAGGACTCCAAGATCACTTCATGTTAGAATTTATAATACTTAAATTTCAAGAACTTGAAAATCTATATATTTTATTATCAAGATCCTTGATTCTGGATCTTGAATTGGGTGTTCTTGATTATCCATCAATAGTCACATATATCAACATAATCAAATGACATAAATCAAATATGAATGTATAGCATGAAAATTACATGTAATATGATCCAATCACACTTATTTTCAACTAATCCTACCTTATTTTTTAATAAGATCAAACCAAAACTTTAATCAGAGTGAAACTGAAGTCAATGCTTTATCATTGAAAATAACATGAATACCTATAGTATAAAATGTATCTGAATCAAACAACAATCAAGTACAAACTCCTACTAAATTGTCCTATCATTAAAAGATACAGCATCCATATGAGCAGTATGTTCATGAAAGACCTTGGTGGTAGTCTTTTAATAAGCGGATCCGTAATTATGAAGTTTGTCCTAATATGCTCTATAGAAATCTGATCACTCTGAATTATTCCCTTAACTAGGAACTTAATGTCTATAAACTTTGATATCATCAAGATCTTATTGGAATACAAGATTACTATTGTCACAGAATAAGTTAAGTGATCTTTCAATTCCATCTAAAATGTACAATCTAGGACAAAATTTTTGGGTTATATTCCATGATAAAAATCAGAATATTCAATAATCTCCAATTAGTCTGATTTTATGTATGTAATCATTAATTCTCTATAGATACTGAATAACTCGCTTGACTGCTTTACAAATATCCTCCCAAGAGTTACTTAAATATCTGCACAACATTCCAACAATGAATGCTATATTCGGATGTGTGAAAACCTAAGCATACATTAAACTCCTAACTGCTGAAGCACGGAGAATTTATGCTTCCTTTTCTTCAAGTATATCTTTTGGCATTGATTGAGACTAAACTTGTCTCTCAAGGATACACCCGATTTACATCTTTGTGTCCCAAATATCTTAAAAACCTCATCAATATATCTTGTTAGGTTTTAGATTATTTGTAATTGGCGATTCTGTGAACAAAATGACTGAATTTGACATATTGTAAAAGTTTGAGGAGTAATGTGCACATACGTTGAAAATATGGTTATTAGGTCCAGGGGTCGAGAATGGCAAAAAGTGAAAAAGGGCACGAATTTTCGCTAGACTGTTGCTAAGTTTTGGCTCGAGCTACAAAAGCAGAAACTACATCATTTGACTGTCACCCTGCCTTCGCTCTAGCGACAGTCTGTCGCTCGACTGCGACAGACTGTCGTTGAGCCCTCGGTCAAGCGATAACTTTATTCAGGAAATTTATTTCGCATTTTAAAGGTTTTTTCCATGGCCCCATCTATTTTATACCCTACCTATAAATATCAAAACATATTTGAACGTGTTTTATGAGGTTGAACATTGAGAAAAAGTCTACAGAGTGTTTCCTTTATATTTGATTCTTTCAACCTTCATCTGTGAGAGTTTTGGTGAGAAAAACATCAATTCAATAATCCAAATACCAAACTTGTTTTGGTGAGAAAAACATCGATTTCATAATCCAAATACTAAACTGTGTTTCCTCTACATCTGATCAGAGTTTTGAAAATCGAGAAAGTTTGATTGGAGTTTCAGTTTGTGAAGAATGTGGTGTTCTTCGTGGTTCCACAGGAGATAAATGATTTCACAAAGCTAGGAGTTGCTGCACGAGAGCGGACTCCAGAAGAGCTTTGGAAGCTACAGTTGGGAGTTGTGTGGGAGCACAGAATCCAGGAAAACTGTTGGAATTGTAATCAGGAGATTAGATAGTACATATCGTCGTCTAGGCTGGTAGACTGTAAGATACATATTGTTTGTAATGGTTTGTTGACTAGTAAAGTGCTCGGAGTTTTTTGCAGTTGGGTTTCTTCGTGATCATTCTGGTGTTGATTTACTGCTTTCATTATTTGATTAGATCACATACTACAGTATTCAAACTTAGGGCTAAAATAACTTGCTTGTTTAATTATCCAGATCATAATTAAAAAGTGACTTCTTGTTGTTTAATTCGTAAAATATTTTTAATTCCGCATATAATACCTATTTACCCCCTGTAGGCATTGTTAGAGTCGAACTCCGTAACTAACAATTGGTATCAAAACCCTTAATTTCTATTCCTGACCCTTTATATCATCTAGATAAGTCAGTCATCATCTATGCCTCCATTTTTCGACGGAAGCAACTATGCCTATTGGAAAGTTCAAATGAGAGCCTTCCTTAAATTGTTGGATGAACGTAGTTGGATTAGAATTCAAAATGGGTGGGCTCTACTTTCAACAACTGTTGCTGGTATAGTCACATCCACTGACATATCTCTGTGGACTAAAACTAATCTTGATGAATGCAATTGGAATAGTAAAGCATTGCATGCTCTATTTATGGCTGTATCTGTTGAAGAGTTTAGGAGATTGTCGATGTATGAAATTGCTAAAGAAGTTTGGAATATTCTAAAAACTACACACGAAGGTACCAAAACTGTTAAGAATTCTAAATTGCAGATGTTAACTACTAAGTTTGAAAAGATTAGGACGAAGGACGATGAATTGTTCAATGAATTCTATGCGAAACTGA